ATTACTATTATTATTACTGATAAAACGATATTTAAGTAAAAAAATTTAAAAGAAACATATATTTAAACACTAAGTTATAATATTTTGACTTTTATTATTATACCAAATATTTTTTGTTTAAAAATTAATTCTTTGAGTAGAAAAAATGTTTGTGGTAATTAAAAAAAAAAATAATAATCAAGCTCCAGTCTAACACAGCCGATTTGACTTGTAAGAGAACGTTGATGTCGAGTGGTATACAAATAAAAACAATAGCTCCGAGTCAAGTGAGCTCTCCAATAGACGCTCAAAAGCATAGTTTTACAGTAAATTCAACGCTATTGACATTATTGTTGGCGTTGAACAATCGATCGATCTCCGATTGCAGGGAGAATTTCAAGTAAAAGAGATCGGGTGATTGCCTATTCGTATAACAGCAGTTCAAAAAGAAAAAGAAAAGAAAAAGAAAAATAAAATAAGCTAGAGGCTCACCAACTTTACTGTTAAATTTGTCGTAGGACTCGGCAGCCGAGGCTTCGGGCTCCTCCTTGTCCTGATCCTTGGGTTCAGTGCTCTCGACGCTCTCTTTATCCGGGCTCTGTGTGGCATCGTCTTTTTTTGAGACCTCGGCCTTTTTGTGTGCCTTGCCGGACCTTGACGAGGCTATTTCCTCGTACGACATGCCTGGATTCTTGCGGCTGATCCGTGCACACCGCGACATCTCCTGCTGCTCGAACTTGCGCCTTATTATTGTTTCGTAGTCCTCGTAGTTTATTCCGGTGCCGAACCTTTTTTTGAAATGATCTCAAACAAAAGTTAGTTGTTTTATTTATTAAATACTGAATTCAAAAGTAAAATGTCTCTGGTTTGAACAAAAAATTCTGCTGAAAAACTAAATCTACCTTTCCAGAAAAATAAGGCACATGTACGTGCATCTACTCAGACTAAAACCGGATTAATCAAAGAGAAATATTTATGAAAAGCAATAAAACTTTTTAGATGTAGAAAAACTGTTTTTTGAGATAACTAAAATTACTCTTGTACTAGTCTACTTTTTCAATTTGTTACATTCTGACTTGTGAGCCACAATTGTCCCACAATTTAACCACAGTTTCAGCAAAAAATTTACCAAGACAATTTTTCTGGGGATTTATTTAACGCGTAAAACATGAAAAAATTCTCGTCCAACTGACCTGGGAAACCTGAGTTTCTTCTTGGCCTCCAAAAACTCATCGTGGACTTCCGGAGCGGGCAGGGGTGACAACCCGTTGATCGCGTTTGCCGCGGCCATCCTGACAGCCGGCGGTGGTTTCGAGGTCTGCGACGTACCTGTGGACAGAGTCGTGGGTTCGCTGTCCTCAACGCTACTACTAAGCGCTGTGTTCAACCGATTGCTCAGTCCTTGGAGGTACTCGCCACCACCGCCTAGGACCGATCGCATCGAGCGCAGGGCACCCCGTGTGCGGCCCATGAAGCTACCCCCGCTTTCCGGCGCCGCTGTCACGTCCACCATTGTGGCGCTTGCTCTATGATTGTTTGTGTTTGGCGCTGGAAGGTCATTGTATATTGAAAGAAATTGAATAGAAAATTTTAAATTAGATGTACCGATGGTCATAAGCTTTTGACAAAATATCATTATTTTTCTGATGTAAGCCTACTACATGCAAGTGCAAAGCTTCTGTTACACAATATTTATTTTTCCTCACGTGTGCTATTAAATATTTTTTTTCCTCAAAAAAAAAAAAAATATATATATATCCAAAGTCTTGATAACAAGCAAAAAAAAGTACCCTTTTATTTTTACCCACAAAACGTCACACTGATAAACAAAAACTGTTGTAAAAATAGTATTTTTGCGTAATAAAAAGATTTTCAATGCGTTATTTTTTGTTTTAAGTATTATCTCTTCCTACAAGTCTCTTTAAAATGAGATTTTCGCGCACTTGTGACGTTAAAAAAAATAATAAAAAATGTTTTTTTTTCAGCATATGAAAAGAAATGCATTTCGCAAAAAGTAGTTTGAAAATGTATACGTGAGGTAGAAAACTTGTTTCTGGATTTGACAGGCGTAAAGTTTTGTAAATGATATCTTAGGAAAAAGAAGGTCAAGGCTTTCAACTCCTGTGGCTTTCGATAGCGGCTCGAATAATCACTTGGGCACAGCTGAACTTTCAGTGTGGCAACACGTACATTTGAAAAATATTCAGTCATTCAATAATATTCTCCTTTTCTTTTTTTTGTAATTTGATAATTGAATTTTCGTGCGCACGCAATTAAACGTATCGAACAAATTGAGTTCTCGTTTGATTATTCATGAAAAAATTTTATCCCCACCCTCGATCATCGATATCGAGTTAGAAACATATGTGAGCTGTGAGGAGCGAAACAAAAATATTTACAGTCGATATCCGCAATGCAGACTAAAGAAGTACGATTATACACGTAAGATGACATTGTGCACGTTACATCTATAAATTCAATGAATTTACTTCCCTGTACCCGATACAACATTCGTGGGCTAAAAATTTTTGACATGGTAAAACACATTTCAAGCAGTACATGTTCGACAATTTGAACCCACTCGAGTTAAATTATTTCACCCACGGAATAATCATGGCTCTGATGATTTAATTAAAATACCACTTATTTATTTGTAGCAATGTCACGGCAAACGATTATTAAAACTTTTTTTCCAACCAAAGATAAAATAAGTGTATTAAAATGAATACACGTACTTACGGTTTTTTATTTATTACGAAAAAGTGGTAATAAAATTATCCGAATCTTTTTCGTCAGATGAACGACTGGTTTTTTTACGAGACAACGATATAGAACCAAATTTTCGTCTTTAAAAAGTCCCTAACAACGAGGGCTCGCGTCCACTGATTACAAACACACTTTTAGCCTACATATTCCAGCACTACACACTAAAGCTCTGTAATCCCAACAAGAGAGTAAAAATTGCAGTATCGCTGGAGGAAAAAAATTTTATTCTTCACGAGAAACAATAAAACTGTAAGGAGAAAAAAGTTAAGCACTTCTCTAGAACCAAATGAGACAAAAAACCACAAAAGCAACAGCCAATCACGATTGTTCCAGCCAATAAAAACGTACCTAATGAACGATATGATTCCCTGAAGATTTCCGAGCCGAGCGTCGAGTAGTCGTACCTCCGATAGCCATGGAAACTATCTGGCGCGCGCCACCCCCTCTCCGTACGTATATACGTACAGTGCAAGCCATCCGCAGTAATGAGCGCCCGACACGTGACCTGTACAGTGCACATGCGCCGGCCGCCAATCAATACTGCAAAAGTAAGGGGTATGTACTTGCTGTACTCGTTGGCATGTTTTATTCGTCAGCCATTCGAAGCAGCTCTTTCGAGGTGTGGGTGCTGGTGTGGTAGCAGTGATGGATAATTTACCGACTTCTGGAAAGGTAAGAATTGCGAGGCTCGTGTACACTTACCGTCTTGTCGTGTAATAATCGATTTTCAGGTGGATTCATTGATTTTTTTTGCAACTTGCAGACATGAATGTATATTGGGAAGTCCTGGTTTTGAAAGGCCATTTTATTAATTGGTACACTTAAAATAGATATGATTTTTCGAGTTTTTATCTATTAATTTAAGATTCTGTTTTGTCTGTCTGGCTGAGACAAATTTAGGCCATCGACTTTTTGACCACTTCCTGATATAACTCTTTTGATATAAAATCAATATAAAAACACACAAAAAAAAATGACTGTAGGTTGTCATTCTAAATCTTAAATAGCTGACATTATAAATATGCCGAATCAGCTTATTTTTTATTTGAGCGACTTTCTACGACTTTTGAAAGAAAAATTATAATGAAAAATGTATTTATTGAAAGTTTCAATGTATACAATAAAGATGAGACGAGCTACTAATCCATAAAAAAAAAATTTTAAGATAGTACATTTAAATGTCAGCTCAAAATATAATTTCTAAAGGAGGATTAATTTTTAAGAACGATAAAAATAAATAAAAGTTCTTTTGAAGACTTATCTAATTTAATAATTTCTTACATATCTTTTTATAGTCGCGTACATTATGTAATTTTTTTTTTCTTCACGATCACGCTTATGTTGAATATACTTAGATGTTTTTTTTTTTTATGCTCGTTATACATAAATTGCAGTACATTGAACGTACACAAAAGGGTGATGAGTTTTTGAGGAGTATTTACATTTATCTTTGTCTCGTTTTTTCTAATTTAGATTTAAAATTGTGCAGGAAAATAGTTATCTAAATATACTTTATACATAATACACATCTCTTCCTTTTTGCCATTATTTTCTACTCCACGACCTACTTTACAATGTTCATTTCATTTTTCTTATCATCGATGGCTCTTCTCTCGGTTATTACAAAGATTCAGTTCGCTTTAGATGTCGCATTAGACAAAATGCGATGTATCACGACATGTAATAGTACTTTTGATTTTTCTTTTTCTCAGCTATTTAAAAAACTCATTTAATAATATGTGCTACAAAACAAGAAGAATTTTAAAACTTTGTAAAAAAGCGTATACGATGGTGATGACAAAAAAATGGTTCTTGTAATGTATTTCGATCTTAAAATAAAAATTTTTAATATTCGCCAATTTTACATGATTAAATTTTGTTAAAGTCACTTAGATCTCACACCGTATGATGTTTTAACTAAAGTCATTCATTGGTGGAATATCATCACAGTTCTTAAGCTTCAAAAAATATCTTCCTTTTATTTACATTAGTTTTGCTTCTTTGTTAAACTTCGTAAATCTTTGGCGACACAAACTTGTCGGTGCGGAATATTTTTGGATTTTTCTAATGACACACATGACCGAGGCAATTATAGTATAAATAACATTTTTTGGCTCATAGTTCTCCATAAAATCTGCTGAGCTGAAAAATCGTCCATGCCTCATCAATCTTACATATATGTAAAGATTATACAAGGATAATAATCGCGTAGGATATTATTACGGTCATTTTGATTTATATAGATTATTATTATAAATTTTTTTTGTGTGTATCAGTTCCAGAATCATCATTCGCAGGCGTCTCGGACGCAGTTATTATTAATATTACAAGACAGTCCTAGAAGTGTGATCACATGTATATGTATTCTTACTCGTTTTAAATCGGAATTATTTACAAAAATCAAACAGTGGCTCGAATTTTAATTTGTAGAAAGATCTATTTCACGATTTGGCCCCTTGTCCGCTACACACAAAAAATTCCCGAGGTAATTTTTACTTTACTCGCTAAGACATTACGTTAATTTTGACGTTGCGTGAGAAATTAATGTTTTCCTAAGCTGCAAAGTTTAAAGCACAATTTTTTTTATTAAATATTTGGTCATTGTTTAGTAGTATACGAATAATATTCGGAATATGTCATTCATCAAAATCATATATGAGATTTAATTACTTATTAAGTAGTTCAATGATGAATTAAATTTATTCTATTTGCTACAAATCACAATGACTTTCTGGTGCAACTCTATCCGATTTCATTCAAGAAAAAGTACTTAAAAATTGAATTACTGTGTATACGTATAATATTTTTAGATAAAAATTGTTCAACAGTATTTGGAACATAAAGTTTCTTATACTTAAAAATACACTTCAAATTATACAATTACTCAATGGTTTTAGGTAGTAGTGTGATTGTATAACCAGCAATAAGAAAAAACCGAGTAACATTTTAAAATAAATGTTTGAGGAATAGAAATGTAAAAGTTTTTCATGCAGCGATCGTCACATTCGGTCAGATCATTGCAAAGTTATAAATTTAACATGAATCAATACTCAGATCATTTGTGTATTGAGTTAAGTGAAAAAATGATATTTTATTTTAGTAGTTACTTTGAGCTTTAGCTGTTAAGGTGCTTGACTAACATTTTAGTAACACCGATATATTTTTCATTTGACTTTTCATATATGAAAGTGAAACTTATTTTTAATTTACCCTTGTCATTTTTTTTGCTCGAAAATTTTTTCGTATGTACATTCAGAATTATATCTATTATATGCTCTATCTGCGGTTAGATACATAATTTTACTTATTTGCTAAACAAAGAGTGTTAATCTTTATTTACACTAATTATTCTGTAAAAAACTTGTTTTGACAATGTGGTGATTCGCAGTGAGGACACGTTTGATTTATAAATCAGGACCAGAGCGTAAGATGTGCTACTCCAATATAGTTGTCTTTCATTCACAATATTTCAGATTATTATTTTAATAAACTATTTTTTGCGACTCAATTGAATGAAATTTTTATTGTGCTCGAAGCTTCTAGAGTGACTTCTCATTTATCAAGTATTTAGTTGTAAAAATTTAATCCATTCTATTCAGCAATAAATTATAAAATTTAAACAATATCGTGGTTCATGGGTTTGCTGAAAATAATTGAATTGTTTAGAAGTAGAAAAGGAACTTCTGTAGTAAATATTTTAGTTATTACGCTTAAAATGATCTAAATTTAACTAATAGCTGATTGAATATGTTTTTCATTCATGAATATATTTTACAGTACAAACGTAATAAAAATGTTTACTGGGTTTAAGAGCGCTTCACTTTTTCTTTGTAGTGGCAAGATTTTATTTTTTCGTTTGAGTTCTTCCAACTTTTTTGGATTACATTGACGCACTTGGATGCTCGTGAATAAACACAACTTTTATGTATTTTTATTCTTTAAATTGGAAAATTTAATTTAGAAATATTTTATTTCTTGCCAATAATTAAATTTAGGTGTCACCTATTATTAACTGTATACTTATTAAGTTTTAAGTCAACATGTGTAGTACTTCACAACAGAATTGTAGGTATTAGAAATAAACTGTATACCTAAGCTGCCAACTAATTTTTCTCTTTTTAAAAATTAATGCTTTTAAATGTACCAATCAGATTTCTCTAGAGTAAACGATATCTTCTTTCTCTTTAATAGTACTCAAGCTATCGGCACATGTATATTTTACTTTTCTCACTAATGAAAGATGAGGGTTTTCTTTTTGAGTCCTTGCATAATTTTTACTCAAACTTGATTTGCCCTGGAAATATTGTTAACGTACTCTCTCTTGTTTCATACTCAATTACTACAATTTAACCTCCTTCCGCATTTCAGGCACATTAGTAGCTACGTAGCAACAAGACTGACTTCTCTGTCATGACTTGTGAGAATCGTGAAAGTAAAATATATTTATTAGTACTGTACTGCTAAAAAAAGATCAATTTTTAATGAAAATCTTCGTGAGCAAATATATGTATAGAGTATTTGTTTTAATACTTCTAGAGGATGTAAATTATAGAGTAAAATTTTTTTTCCTTTATTTTCTTTTAATATTGTCAAAGTTGATATTTGTCTCTTCAATCTAAATTTTTTTCTTTTATCTATGGATTATTTTATTTAGTATTTTCATGTATGAAAAAGCGTAGACACATTCAATAATGTGAATTCGTTTGTTTACCAATGTATAAAAGTTTCAGCATCGTGCCGTTACTAATACATAAGAGTCAGTTTAAAAAAAACTTTATTTATTTTGTTATTCATGATTGAATAATTAATTAAAATTATTTTCATGCTTACTTTTATGCGGAAAGAGGTTGAACTTATTCTTTGCAGCAACCTAGTATGGTAATAATAGTAATTTTTTTTTATGCAAGGCTCAGAACTGTACAGAGTTTATGAAAATTAAGACTTTTCTAAAAGGTAACGTTTCAGCTTCTTAAAACGATAATAATTTTTATAATATCAGAAGACTCTTTTTTTTATACTCAAAAATACATAAATTTAATCAAATAGTCATAGTATTGAAGTAATTGTATTTTGAAAACATTTTAAAAATACATTTAAAAAATTGTCAAATTCCCCTTGAAAAAAAAATGTATTTTAAAGTAAATGCATTAAAACTTTTAATAAATATAAAAAATTTTACATCGCTACGAATTTTATCGAATTAATCAGTCAACTAAAACAATTATTAGGAATTATCAAATAAACTTATTAGTTTTTTAAGAAAAATCACTTCAAAAATTTCAGATCAAAGTTTAAACATTTTCATGAATAAATTTTTAAGGTACTTTATGCTTACATAAACAATGTCAAGTGGGCAATACTCATAATTGTAAAGTTTTCCAATTAACGCTCACCAACTCGAAAAAA